ATTTCTGCAATATCTTAAGCTTAAAGAAAGTAATATTTGTTTCATATCAGATTAATTTAAATCAGCTAATAATCCTCAAATAAAGTTTCAGACAAGTATATTTTATTTTTTAAAGATTTTTTAATACAGAGGATTTAGCCATTTCAAAACGTCAATTTTGTTTTGAAATAAAGCAAATATTTTGCATATTGTAAATATTAAGTTAAATCTATTGGCTTAAAATTAAGACTAAAATAAAAGCCTTAGATATAACGCTTCTATGGATATATATATATATATATATATATATATATATATATATATATATATATATATATATATGAAGAAATATAATTTTAAGGTGTGCTATATTTATGGGATAAAGTGCTCAATATCAGAGATAGAGCGTATGTAAATATTAATATATAATAAGCGTATATATATATATATATATATATATATATATATATATATATATATATATATTTGGTTGGATTGATGTGGGTTTGTGACCTAGGCTTCACGCATTTGCGATCGTCAGCGTTTTCTAGTAAGTACCGCATATATATATATATATATATATATATATATATATATTTATGTACCCCCCATATATATATATATATATATATATATATATATATATATATATATATATATATATACAGGTATTTTAAACAGGAGTAGACGAAATAAATGGTGTTCAAAATAAACGGGACGTCTACTCAAATGCGGTTATCCACAAGCAATGACGTTTGAAGTAATAAAAATATCGACTTGTGTACTCTCACAGTATTTATTGACGTCTTATTGCACTTCTATTCTCAGAAGACCCCAATTATGGATGAAACAAGGATGTTGGTGATAATTCGCAATCGACCTTTGACCTCTGTCACTTCTGGCGCTTCATGTGACACTTTTTTTTTATTTTTCTTATGACTATTCTTTTTTTTTCTTATTCTTTTTCTGACTCTTCTAACTTTGATTTTTCTGACACTTCTTCTTCAGACTGTTGTTCTTGTGAATTCTTTTTCTTTTGACTCTTCTTCTGACTGTTCCTGTGACTAACTCTTCTCATTCTGACTCTTCTTTTTCTTCTCCTTGTATCTCTTCCCGTTTTCTACTTATCCATTCATTCTGCACAAATAACTAACCAAAACAATTCATATTGTACAAATCCTTCAAAGAGATTTTCGAACAATTTAAATTTTTTAGAGCCTCTATTACTTTGCCAAAAAAAAGGTTGAAGACGAATAGGTCGGTAGTTAGAAGGATCAGACGGATCGTCCAAATTCTTATAAACAAGAACTACAGAAGAGGATTCCCAAGAAGATGGAAAACAAGAAGAAGCAAGGTATTTATTGTGGAGCTTAGACAGAACTAAAACTATTTCTGGAGCACATTTTTTGTAAAGATTATTGCAGTGATAGTATCGAGTCTACATGCTTTGTGGGGGTCCAATTTAGAGATGATAGCAGAAATTGTGGAGAAAATTAAATGCATATCACACAGCATAGAGTCAGTTTTAAGTGGAAAGTCAGGCAAAAATACTTCAGATGAGTTAAAAGTAGAATTGGAAGAGAATTTACGAGCAAAGCATTCTATTTTATCAGCAGAAGGTGATAGAGAGCTTACCTTTATTTAACACGCTATTACGCCAGTAGCAACGAGAAATTTACAATTTATTTATTTTTGGTTCTCACAACTTTTCGGTTCAACTCTTCTAGATTCAATTTCAAAATGTAATATATGGATGGAAAAAGACGTTCTATTCTTTTTAAGGAGAGCAAGGCAAAATATATACCTTATATATAATATGGCTGTTATTGGCGCGGCAAATATAATCAGCGAACCTTGTTCATGTTTCATTCTATTGTGTTGCATTTACTTCGCACTAATACCCTCGGGAAAATCATGAATCCATTTCTTCTCCCCTTCCTATAGGGTAAACAGCAGGATAGATTGGAATTTCTGGACTTGAGTGGTAGCCAGTCTAGATGAGGGATAAAATTCAAAACCATAGAGAAGGCAACCGGAAATAAGTCCCTTATCTTTCCCAAGACGTCATGGTAATTTGCAGATGATAAAATAATCTATGGGATGCTACGATCCTTTACATCCTGAAGGGACAGTGTGGTAAAAAAATGGACAAGGAAAAAAATGTAACCGTAACAATAATTTATTTTAACGTAAAATGTAACGAACAATAATTTATTTTAACGTTTAAATCTTTTTATTCTTTTATGTTTTTATGTAGCTTACATTTGCGACGATTTTCTTATTATACAAAGATTGGCGTGTTTTAACGAGGATTGGGTGGGGGGAACTTGCTCTAGGAGTGCAATTTTTTGCACTCGGTACGATTTAAGAAAGGAAATACTTGAAAGCTACATATGTGTAAAGAAACTTACGAGACTCACAATTTCCATCTCTCTTAGCGCAAAATATCGATAAGTCAAGTGTTTGCTTATTGTAGGATTACGCTCATGTTTTTTCCGGCATGACAAATAACTCCATTAAAAAAGAAAACAATATTGTTAACATTATTTGAAATTTCAAAAACCAGCCATTCCTTCTTTTCATCTCTCTGTCTATGTCTCTCTCTCTCTTTCTCTCACACACATATTTTTTTCTGTCTTACTCTCTTACATGTAAACTTTCTTTCTTTCTTTATATCTCAGGCAGATAGATATTGAAAGAGAGAAATAGATATATGCATGAACAGACTGATAAATAGATGACTTGCCTGAAAAATATCTGATTGAAAAAGATTTGAAGAAAAAGAGATACATATTGAAAGAGAGAGAAGCATATATATATGAACAGACTCATATATATATATATATATATATATATATATATATATATATATATATATATATATAGATAGATAGATAGATAGATAGCATGGAGGCAGAGGTCTCTTGCCTTGAGTGACAGCCAATGTAGGAGCAGAAAAAATGTAAATTCAAACCCTAGGAAGGTTGTTTGAAGATTCCTTGACACGCTTGACTGTAATAATGGACTATTCCGTTTTGATTGTGACGAAAGATGGAAAAGACATATCAGTGACACTGTTTGGTTTCAATGAGAAAAAAGAAAGATAGGAAGAAGACAGAGGAGGCAAAAATGCTTTCATGTGTTTAACGTCTGCTTCAGTGAAATCGAAAAACTTTCCCCCTTACTTCCTTAAATAATGACCAACATTCATACTTGTGATTGTTGTTGCAATATTTTGTTAAAGTTGATAAGCTCAAATATTCAAGGATGCAACGGGTATTTTAGTAGTAGGACTTGCACAGAAATTATTCAATTCATTGACTTAAGAATTAAGATTCATCAGAAAATTCAAATAGGAAAAGTGTGAACTTTTCATGAGTATTTCTAGTATTCTCTATTTACTGAAAAGAAGTAAAAGTTTGTCCCTTATTTCCTGTTTAAGATTGGTATGAATCCACCTTTTCTGCCCTAGCGATGTGTTAAGAGTTCTATCACAAAATCATTATCTAAAAAAACAAAAACAAAAAAAATCTTTAAATCTAAAAATATTTTCTGGCTTTAAATAACCTGCAAAGGGTTGATAAACCGTAGAAAACGTATCAGTCAATCAATGTTTAAGATTGGGTTCCCAGTTCCTTCTAAAGTCTTTCACTCCAAGTAACTTCTTACATCTTAGTGGCATTATCGCCTTGTTTGGGGTGAAATGATTAAAAAAAATGTTATTGTATAAAATCCTATTGCTCCTTTTGAAAGGATGGTGGTCCTATAATTAAGAATGATACGCAATTAACTCGCTTACATACTCCCCCCTCCTTCTTCTTCTTTTCTCCATTTTTCTGATTATTTTATGCTCGTTCAACCGTACCGTAAAAAAAAAAGAAAAGAAATAAAATGAAGTTGCATTTGACATTTCCATTAATCTGCAAATCAAGAAATAATCAAGGAGCGAAAATTAATGTAAAACATAAATAAATTGACGTTTCATTTATCAATTGCAAAACAGAAAAAAAAAATGTATTTCCATTACGTCAGTAGAACAGTTCAAAACACAGAACTGATCGAACAGCTTATCGTCATTTATAATTTTCTTTTACAAATACTGGAAAGTGCTATGCACTGTTTTTAAAATTTATTTAACCCCAAGCAAGGCAATAAAACCACTAAGACGCAAGTGGGGATGCTACTGAGTGTTTGAAAATATGAGAAAAATATACTATTAAGAAAAGGAAAATAAAAGAATAAGAATTAAAAAGTAGACATATACATATTAGCACGTTCATCTGGCCAAACCGGAGATTTTCAAATTAGTCCAAGCCACGGGGTCTATCCCCACCGCCAGTAGTACCTTTACTTTGGAAGGGGGCTTAGGTCATTACCATAAGCGCAGTACTAGATTGGTAATTAGGTCTCATAAATTCACTGTTGAAATGGCGAGTTGTGACAATAAGTCTTTTGAACAGGAGTAGATGTTTATCCCTTGTTTTCTGTTTAGGATTGGGTTTCCGGTTCCTTCTAAAGTTATTCTTATTTTCTTTCACTCTCAGTAGCCCCTTGCGTCTTAGTGATATTATAGTCTTGCTTGGGGTAGGGGACTGATTAAAAAAAGTTCTATGCTAATAATTTCTTTTCTCGCATTTCTCGCTTGTGGAACTCTCCTCTAGTTTCCCGCTTTTCTGTCAATTACAATCTTCAAAACATTAAATGCCATATCAATCGTTATTTGTCTCCTTGAATCTTATTCTTTTATTGTTCTCTCTGTTTCTTTCACTCTAGGTAATCCCTTGCTTTGTAATGGTTTTTGTTTGCTTTGCCCAGGGTGAAAGGATTTAAAAAAAAAAAAGAAAGATTTCCTCATTTATATAATATAGGAAATTCAAATAATGTGGTTTCTGTTCTAGACTATCATTTCAATTTCAAACCCACTAAATCTATTCAAACCACACTATATAAAGACTAACCTATTTTTCAGATGAGACTTACACTTGCTTGTACATGCGTGGATCAATCTTATCGTGTCAGATATGGCTACTCAGCTGGCATTTACAATGTACTCAATCGGACTTTTGAATTGACGTTTATTCGAAGAAATCTGTGCAAACAGACGTTGTATTGTTGCCTGCAACGAGGGAGAATTATCGACTGGTTCGGTGGCACGCTGACATAATCAAAACTCTTTATAGTTTTGTCTTCACAGGTCACCGCTCATTGTCGAAATTCCTTCATGAAAAAAACAAAACAAAAACATAACAAAAAAAACCCCACAAACACTGAACTATGTTATAGATTTCATGAAAAGAAGTATAAATATTCTACAACAGAAATACATTTGTACGCGTATACGTGCTTGTGTGTGTTCGTCTGCATGAAAGCGAGAGGGAGGGAGAGAGAGAAAGAGAAAGAGAAAGAGAAAGAGGTGTTATATTAAGACAAGGCGTATAGATATTCGCTTATTTTGAGACAGGAGCACATAGGAAGCTTGAAGATTGTATAGCGCTAATATTCAAGTAAAAATATTGTGCCCGACTTGAAAATCACTGTTAGAAACCCAAGATTTTATCAGTTAAATAAAAAAGCATTTTTCAGCGATAATTAACATGCTAATTAAACTTATATATATATATAAAGTCAATTTCTGATACCTCCTGAAGAGTGGACTGAAAAAATAATGAAAAGTTCTTCGTTTTCGAAACTGTGGAGTCGAGGTACTGGATAAACCATCAATTATCTAAATGACAAATATTATTTGTATAAATCACACACACACACACACACACACACACACACACACACACACACACACACACACACACACACACACACACACACACACACACACACACACATATATATATATATATATATATATAAAAAGTGAACATGAAATCAACACTTAGAGGCGACAGGCTGTTTCATGCTAGACGCAATCGTCAGTACACACGCTCTATCTCTGATATTGAGCACTTTATCCCATAAATATAGCACACCTTAGTATATTTCTTCATTCATATATATATATATATATATATATATATATATATATATATGACTGCAAAGCAGCGGGGTTCAACACTGACACACACAGACACACACTTATATATATATATATATATATATATATATATATATATATATATATATATATATGTGCATGTGTGTATGCATATAAATTAAATAATTAAGAAAAAGACAACCCTCAGTTTCCATGGCTATAATTTATTTCCCCAGAAAATTTATTTTTCCTGGTTCATCAGGTGACATCGGGGTAACTAGAAATGTGACCTGATGAACCAGGAAAAATGTTTTTTCTGGGGAAATAAATTATAGTCATGGAAACTTAAGTTTGTCTTTTTCTTAATTATTTAATTAATATTTTCTTTTGGTGTTTCATTGAGCTCTCTGGATCACAACCTCTTTGGAATTATCCACACGGATTACCAAACCATTCATTACCTTACTCTATCTATCTATCTATCTATCTATCTATCTATCTATCTATCTATCTATCTATGTGATACCCACCGGTGGTCGCGGTCGCAGCGCCAATATGTAACGTCCTCTGGTCGCGACGCCAATATGTGACACTGCGCTGTCGGCCCACGGTCAACTCCCAGTTGCGGCGCGAAGCTGTAAGGTTTCTTCCACCAGCGTTTGGAGTTGGCTCTTTGTCGCTGTCACCAGCCTGTGTCCCGGTCGATCTGGTCGTTCCCGGTTTGATACCAGCTTTGTCGTTCCCAGCTCACTTCCAACGTCTGGTTACCGAAGTAATTACTTTAATCTCAAGTCTAACCTACCCATGTTATGACTTTGATCTTAGGTAGACGAAATCAATCAGGCGTCGGGCCGTAGTAAAAGCTGAATCCGGGGTAAAGGTGATATCGCACAAGCGTAAGTAAAAGAAACAATAAAACAAAACTCAAGAGGTTCAAATATGTTGAGAAATAACAAATTATCTTTATCCGTCTGTTGAATACAGGAGTGTGTTTCTCTCCCAGCCCGTTTTTATGGATTCGTGACACTTGCGTTTCTTAAGCGAGTTTTTGGTATCTTAAGTCATTCATCAATATAACTTGCTTTCAGTAGGAAGACTAAGTCAGAAGGACGTGAAATTTATCGGTCAGCTTCTCCGAGGCAACGGCCTGACTGCAACTGCGAATCAACTGCTGGAACTCCTGGAACTAACTAACTGCAAAACTGATCAGCTGCCTCGAGACGTTCGTTTATATGGATACCGACCAAAATCCGGTGTGAGGGCCTGACATGGCTTCGGTTCCCGATAATTCTCGATTCCCAGCAAGAATTCGGCCAGGAAAATTAATTACTTCCCATTTTTGGAAGATTAATCACTTTCCATTTCGGGGGTTTCTCCCTGGTCCGTGAGGGAAGGTCAGAGAAGAGTTATCCTCCTAAACTCTTCCTCTTTCACATTGGTATCTCATACCAATCCCCTCAGAGGGTGCTAACAACTTCTCCGTCTTTCTCATACATTCACCTCCGCCTATCACCCATGCTACCACTTGACCAATGATCTCTCGCTAGTGTGGGTGTGGCTAGACTGGCCCTCTTGAAATTATTATCCAGAATTTTGTTTACAAAATCCTTTTTTTCTTTTTTTTTTCTTTCGGCCAAAACATTTACAAATCCCAGATTGCCAAATAATTCTTATCACATCTTTCTTTCGGGGACGGGGTGCGAAAAGTATCTTTCTTTGTAAATAAAATCTTTTTTTTTAACGTCGATCAGTCTATCTTTTGATATAGCTCTTTCTTGCCTTAAGTCTTTCCTGTTTTTAATTTCTGTGGTTAATTAGTTAGCCAATTACCATAGCTAAAGAGTGTCACACACACTTACACACACATATATATATATATGTACACACACACACACACACACACACACACACATATATATATATATATATATATATATATATATATATATATATCAGAACTGACATATATATGCGCGCGCACGTGTTTGTGTCTGTCAATGCTGAACCCCCGCTGTCTTGCAGTCATATTCAAACACACAAAACGTATTGTTAATGGAAGAAAATCCAGGCAGAAAACCCGAAGTGGTTCCCGGAAGGCGATTGGCTGTCCACATTGGCATCTTTCGGGAAACTCCTGCAGCCGATCCGGTCCCAATTGTCATGTCCTGTATTCCTTTGGATCTTATCGGGACGGCCGATAGGTAGGCCATGTAGTGTGGGCAGCGCATGGCCTCCATCTACCATCACTCAGTCCTGTACCCTGGAGAGGTCACTCCAATTTCACTACAAACGGACCGAACTTCGACCAAATGGAGCACAGTTGCGAGTATGTCACACAAAGTAGCGGTTTTGGCATGAAGCTGCCCGAGTGTAATTTTTTTTTTATCAATGGAATACGAATGAAATGAGGATGGTTCATCACTGTGTATATGAGATGGTGGATTTTAGCTGAATATCGTCAATAAACGGTAAAGGTTCCCTGTATGGAAACGGCTAATCTTATCATTTATTATGTATAAAACTTTAACTGATTGGTTCGTTGAATCTCCCAAGGAACTTGACTCATTCAAAAACAACAAAAAAGTAAAATCTTTATTCGCCACCATAAGAAAATAGTTCAGGGCACCGTGATGTGGTGTAATGGCTAGCAAGTTTGTCTCGCTAGAACAATTAAGACTGAGTAGTGAGTTCGATTCTGATTGAGTGCTCCATACTGTCGGCCTTGTGCTACATCTAAGCTACGCTTAGAAATTCACCATACCAAAATAGTTCAGTTGGTAGATCATTAGATTGGCAATCCTGGAGTTCGGTATTAACATGGAATGGTGTTGATGTTTATTGGATAGAAACCGCTTCTCTAGAGTAACAATGATGGTCGTTACCCCAAATTTATTAAGTGCCAAATGCCCCCCCCCCACCAATATTGACTAAATGCCCCCCAAAGAACAAACTGAATTAAAGAAGAAGAGCGTTGTGATTAGCAGGTCTACAAATTTAGCCATACAAGCTTGCATTTTATTTAGCAGACCGTCCCAGGCAAAACAGATGAGAGTTCGAATCTTGCCGAGAGCATTTTTCTTTGGTAATTTCCGATTTACAGTGAAAATAAATAGAATGGCACTTTGAGTTTGTTTTGTAATACCATGTCACTTCAGGACGTCGGGGATCATGGCTCTCCACAGATTTCATTTTTTATTAACTGCGAATTGCCATGCCTTCGTGGGAAAGATATAGTAATGTTTTCCTAATGTCTTCACGATTTTTAATTCAGAGTCGCCATTCTCGTAGACTGGCTGTCACCAAGGCTAGGGAGCTCAGTCTGCTCTGCTATTTAACCCGTATCTGGGTGAATGTCAAAAATTGTTTCATGCTTTTCCTAAGTAAAATTAAAATTTAAGAAATGCTGGTCAAAAATTGACAATAGCTGACAATATTTTATTTAATAAAAAAATTACGATGATATTACTAATACAAATGCTGCTTTTGGTAGGTGGAAGATCTTTTAATCTTCAAGAATTTCAGGACTTCTAAATGTCTGATAGAATGGCTATGTGGGTGGTAACTTAACTTGTGACAGATGAGTCAGTATGTTTCAAGCAACTATCTTAATGAGGTACGTAGGTGGTTAATAGAATATTTACGTATTGACACATTCCTAGCTTCTCATCCCTAGTTCTCACTAGTCATGATGAATAGTTGCACTCTCGAAGAAGTTCCTCGCTTTGAGTGTCTATTGGGACACAGGTTCACTCTAGAACAAGTGGAATTAATACATATGATCTATTGCTAAAGATTCTAAAAAAATGACCAGCTCCTTATACTGCAGAAAGTAATTGACTTCACCTGTCATGTTCTGTTTTTATAAGAGTCAGGTCAGACCAAAAATGGAATATTTCTGGCATATCTGGCCTGGATTTGTCCAACTCTTTCAAAAGTCTTTAAGCAGCCTTGTAAACCTTGAATTAATAAAAAAATTTTTCTAGTACTGATAGGAGTTTCCTTTCTAACCTTTTATAGTGTGGAAAATTCAACATCTTTATTATGTCATTATTTTCTCTTCGAGTTACACGTGCTATCCATTTTAATTGTTGCTACTGTTGAAAGTCTTCATGTTATACGGTTTCTGTTATTTGGTACAGGTCTTGGTGATTTTTATTTTAATTCATTTAATACATGATTTTACAGTGGGCATTAAAGAGTTGCAAGTGAATATATGGTAATAGTAATATTAGCCGTTTCCCTACAAGGAAACATTTGGCATTCATTGACCGAGTACTGTCTACAGTTGAATTTTATAAAATCTTTCTCTTAAAACAATCTTTCAGGAAAATAGGTTTCTTGAGTACAGTATCTGTTGTTGCTCTTTCTAGTATTTAACGAGGGTTTCCATCCTAACCTTTTATATGAAATAGTGTGGAACGTCAA